AGCACGCATGACTATATATATATATATATATATACTAATATACTATTAGTAGCAAATAACAATAATGTACAGTGCATAAAAAAAAACGAACCATTTTGAAAAGCTTTTTATCTAATGATTGGATCTTCAGGTTCTAGAACTCAAACTTAATGCTTCAAGGAGGTGACCTCATATAACCTAATTAGTGCATACGATATTTAAAGTTACGAAATCAGACACAAAAACGTACTTTCTCTGAATAAGCATACCTTTTTTTCTGATGGATTCAGATTTCTGACTTCCGCTATCTAGCTGCAGTCTGGGAAGTATGGTTATCCTCGTTTGATCGAGCGATCCTAAGTTTGGACCCCACATTGTTAATTTTACTTCACCATATCTCGAGAACTTTTTAAGTGAATTATAAAATTCGTTTATAATTGAGAGAAAAGGGTTGAATAGTTCCTGAAAAATTGAATTTTAAAAAACTCGTATATTTAAAATTCGATTTCTCAGGAACTATTCGACCGATTTTACTCAAATTCTGTATTTTGACATGCAAAATTACATACTTTAAAATGGCGTGAAAATAGTTCATAAATATTTACTTATTATAATTGAATATTGAGTTATTATGATTGTTAAAAAAGTCGTGTTTTTTAAAATTTGATTTTTCAGGAACAATTCGACAGATATCGCTTATCAAATTGATTCGAATCTAGCATTACCATGTAAAATTACATTATTTAAAATTTTTTAAAAATGGTATACCTTAGAATTCAAAATTTTCCAGACTATTTTTAATAAAATAATAAAAAATAAATATTTACTAAAATTTATTTTTTGCATGGAATTATCTTGGGACAAACGAATTTTATAATTATGTGCAAAAAATTTTCCAATCCGCTTAAAAATTTTCCGAGATATGGCGAAATACGTAAAAAGTAAAATTTACATTAAGGGGTAAGTCTCTTTCCTAACGTAACTATGGAGACCATTTTTCCCAGATTCCGGCTACTTTCTATATTTTGTGAGTCAGAAATCCAAATCCGCCGAAAAAAAAAGGGTATGTTTATTCAGAGAAAGTACGTTGAGTCTGATTTCGCATCTTAAAATATCGTATGCACTAATGAATTAGCATATTTGAGGTCACTCTTTCGACAGTAACGATACGATCATTAGATCAAAAGTTATTTAGGATGATGTTTTTTTTGGTACACAGAACCTCTCTAAAAATTTAGTCGAAGACATAATCATCTAAAATTATTTTTGAATGCTACCGTTACATTCTTATTGGTTAGAAAATCAAATAACATGGTATGTTTTCAGAATTAAAAAAGAAAGATCCAGATATCTTTGGCTTTTATCAGCAAAGAATTAATAAAAATAATGGTATTTTTTTTACCAAAAAAATATTTCTTTATCTCTTATTCACTGAGAAATCTATAAAGAATTCCCATTCTATTGCTAGAGCATTGCTAGAAAGGCAACGCGTTATTTCTTTATTTATTTTTCATTGCGCGGGAAAATGGTGACAATATCAAAAACGTTTTTAGAGCCACGCTACGGCAAAAAACTACTAATTAGATTGATTTTTTCGCTTTCTTTTATTATTTTTAATTGAATTTGTTAAATTCTTTGCAATCGTTTAATAATTTGTTTCATTTTAGTTTTATAAAATACTTTGATGTTTTTTAAAGGACATCGTCTGTCAATAAACACAAAAGTTCGCTTTGCTTAGTTAAAGAACGATTTATTTTATATATATTTTAATTTCAGACCCTTTTTCTCGTTCTTAAATTTGATTCAACGTTAATTAAAATATATATTTCTCTGGACTATAAAGCAACATTAAAACTTTTTAAATATAGAATAAATTTAGAAAAGCGTTATTACAGAATGAAATAGACATGATTAAATGAAAATACAACAGAAACACTTTTCGACACTTTTAAATCTAAGATAAAAAAATTTCGAATTAATTGAGAATTTTATGTTCTTACACAAATATAAATGCAGAATATGCACAAAAAATTGAAACACTTGCATACATTATCTTTATTCAGTAATATTAATTGGAACGAAGCGAGAAAAAACAAAAGTTTGAAACTAATCAGATTCAAAGAAGTATCTCATTCCTTCTTACTATATAAATGTAATCAATGTCCATGGTATCGCACAAAAATAAACAAAAATCTGACAGAAGTACTAAATTATAACTTTTGAGTGCTATTTATTTAAATATATTATATTAACCGTTTCCTTTATGTGCAGTTAGAGGGCGCAAGGGTCGATGTGTTTTTAGAAAAGATTCGTGATGATGCCAGAGTGGAATTTCATAGTTAACAGAATTTATCTACAATATATTTATTGATCCTTATTTCTCAGTATTGTTCTTAGCTAATTGGGAGTTTTCGTACTTTTACGTCAGTTTCCGTACTCTCCTGTACAATCGATTGAAGCAACTGCGCATGCTCGCATTTATTTTAAATGTTACGTATCTTTACCTAATGTTGATGTCATTTACGCTACAAGGACCAAGCTACGAGCATGCTGTTTATAGCTGTTAAGTGTTGTTTTCTGTTTAATCCTACCTTCGAACTGAAAGCATGGAATGCAAATTTAAAGAAATGTATTGATGAAATTTAGAAATGAATTGTTAGAAATGAATCTTACAACAATTGGTTTATTCAGTAAAAAAATTATTTTATTGGTTTTTATGTAATATTATGGCTGTTTAATTGCACTTGTCCCATGAAAAACTAGTTACATTTTTGTTGTTTTAAAATTATGAATTATATTTATATCTTAACTATACAATTAGTTAACAGAAGATAAATAATCAATAAAACTTCAGTGATATCTTTTGAAAATATTAATAATAATAATAAAAAAAGCTTCATTCTTTATCGATGAATTCATCAAAATTTATAATCTGCCAAATTTTTCTGCTCACAGAACCGCTGTCTTAAGTAAAGCAAAGCTTCTTGAATCGTAAGCTACAGCTCTAAAGAGATAGTCTGAGTTGTTTTGATTTTGTATATATATATATATAAGTTTTATATAAGTTATTTAAGTTTTATATAAGTTATTTAAGTTTTATTAACTGTTTATAGGCTGCAAGTACATAGAACTCATAAAATAAGTTAAAATATTGAGAAAATATGGAAAATAATAACGATTAATAACAAAAGAATTAGAAAAATTATTTAAAAAAATAATTTTTAAAAAATATTGTAATTTTTTTTATTTGTTGTTTTAAAGAAAGCTTATTAACAATCCAAGAAACAAAATGAAGAAAAGATATAATCTTTTTATCAGCTCTCACGATTATATCCGCAAAAAGAAGAGCTTTCTAATACTGCATCAATATAGCCAAAGCTAAATATATCAATGCATATTTTGTAATCCGGCAATCTTATTACGAAAATATTTCAAATCATTCGAATGCACTCCTCGCTTTATAGATTTCCTCTCGTGTCTTTCTGTATTTTCTTTACATTTTATTTTCTGTTTTTTGCTTGATACGTTTTATTTGGTATATTTTTTTTTACTTAACGGGTTCGATTTTCGTTTCAATTTTTTTGAGTGCTCCTCACACTATTGCATTGATGCAATATTAGAAAGCACTTCTTTTTGTGGATGTAATCGTGTGAGCTGATGAAGAGGTTATATCTCTTCTTTATTTTGTTTTCCGGATTTTTAACAAGTGTTTTTTTTTAATAAATAAAAAAATTTACAATATTTTAAGAAATAATTTTATTTTATTAATTTTTCTTCTTCTTTTGTCATTAATCTTCATTATTTTCCATACATATGTATACATAAAATTAATTATTAGAATCAACATTTTCTAACATATTTTATAATTTTAAATTTAGATGAATTCCAGAAAGATTGTTCTCGCCCTCATTCTAGTCTGTGTTTTGGTATGTGCATATTCTGAAGCTGCTGAAGAGATGCCTGAAACAATGCATCATTCAAGAAAAAAAAGAGCCCTTTTTGGTGAACTCTTCAGTCTTGTTGGTCAGTTCTATCAGCTTTTCAAAGATATGGCTGATATTCCGATAGATATTTATCAAAACACTTTGCAACAAATAATTTTTTGACTATGAAACTACTAGTCATAATATGGTTTATGGCCATACTTTGTCTTTTTATTTAAATGAAATTTCAATTCAGCAATTCTGTTTCCTTGTTACGCAAGGTCTTGTTTCAAACTCAGAATGATTTTCTTTTATTAAATAAATGATGAAAAATAATATTTCAGGTTATAGCTTGTTTTGTATTGTGAACATTTTAAAATACAACAAATTATGAGTATATATTTACATAAAAAGATAAGCCACTTCCTGCAATCCGTTTTCCAGCTTATTCAAAGGAAAAAAAGAGAGAATTGAGATATAAAATCGTACATTCTAAAATCAAGAGACTATGTAGTATAATGACAAAAGCCAACTGTACTACATAGTCTCTTGATTTGATATAGTCTTGATATACGAGTTGTATACGATATACGAGTATACTCGTATATAGTCAATTAATATTGCACAAGTAAGAGTGGGGATGGTCATATCCCATAAGGGTCATAATAACGGTCAACTCCACCATAACTAATTTTACAGGAGAGGGAAAAATCTAAACAGTTGAGTAGCCGCTTGATGTATAGAGATGTTTTTATTTTTTATATTAAAATACGGCTGCTTACAAAATATTCCGTTGCAATTATGTGATTACGTCACATAATTTTAGGAAAATAATTAGAACTTGGAGATGAACGTTTTTCGTACAAAACCTTAAAACGAATACTACACATTATTTTGAACAGGCGAAAATATTAATAATTCGGCATTTTAGAAATAAAATAAAAATTTGTTTTAAACTTTAGGCTACATGTAGAATACCATTTTTAAATTTTAGACTGTGTGTAGAATACCATTTTAAATTTTCGACTACACGTAGAATACCATTTTTAAATTTTAGACTACTTGTCTTATAGATTTAGAAATTGTCTTCTCGATTATGACTATTTGTCCTTGGCAATATACAAATCATAGAAAGAGGAAACATATGGTATTGAAACATATTGAAAACATATTCTTCCTAGAAAGAGAAAAACATATTGCAGCTTTTTTGGTGTATTCAATTTTCTTATGGTTTATGCTAAATTTTTCAAAATATGCTCCCTTAAATGCTAGTGGAACCACTTTCAAGGTATTTTTCTGTGCTCAGTAAATATTAATTTGCTTAAACCATCAATGAAAGGAGATTATTCAACTGCAATTGAAGAGCTCATGTAAATAAGACTGCTATAATGTGATTGTTGTTCCTTTTTTCCTCCTTTTCTATAGGAGTATTTCGATAACATATTTTTCTTTTGATACTCAGACCACCATGTAGGTATTTAGAATCTAATTTTCCATAATGCACTCTTACCTGCACTGAACACTGCACAAAATCTTCTATACCAAGTAGGAGGGTATGAATTTTTATATTTTAATTATGTATCTATGCTAACTAAATTTATTTAATGCTCATTGCTATAAAAAATTATCAAAATTGCTAAAATAGCTAAAATTGCTAAACTCGCTTATGCATAGAGAGAGACATTTGTCCGAAAAACTGGCATATTTATCCGAAAAACTCGCTTATGTATAGAGGGAGACATTTGTCCGAAAAACTCGCTAATGTATAGAGCGAGACATTTATCTGAAAAACTCGCTTATGTATAGAGAGAGACATTTATCTGAAAAATTCGCTTATGTATAGAGAGAGACATTTGTCTGAAAAACTGGCACATTTATCCGAAAAATTCACTTATGTATAGAGAGAGACATTTGTCCGAAAAACTCGCTTATGTATAGAGCGAGACATTTATCTGAAAAACTCGCTTATGTATAGAGAGAGACATTTATCCGAAAAACTCGCTTATGTATAAAGAGAGACATATGTCCGAAAAAATTGACTCATACAAAAATGCAACACACTTGTGTCAATACATGTTGAAGCATGTATTGACACATCGCATAAATAAACCAAACATGATAAATAAACCAAATTGTCAGTTATTCCAAGTACAAAGACGTATTATCTGATTCACGTTGACTGCAATATATTTTTGCTTTATTGTTTAAAGAATTAATAACATAATACCATTTACCTAATTATTGACCATATTTCTTTATTTCTAAGCGTATGGATATACAAATAGTGTACCAAAAAATAAACATAGGAATTTTTTTATCGATCACGTTGGAACAAAAAAAAAATGGAACTTGAGATACTTTTAAACTTTACTGTTAACCTTTATTCTCAAAACATTAAAATATTAGCAATTCTGGCTGTCATTTTTGTCATTATCACGGATGCGGAGCTCAGAGTACACTGCATGGTACGACATTTAAAATTTATATTTAAAAAAAATCAATGTTCAAAAAAATAAATGATTGAAATTCGAAATTCAAATGTAACTATTCAGGATTGCTAACTTTAATTTATATTATCGAGGGAATGTCTGAGAAGTTTTATAAGTTTATGAGCATAGATGGAGATTAAAATCCCTTATCAAAGCACGCATGACAAAGTCTGAATTCAGAAAAAAGTAGGTCATAGTACAGATAAAAATTATTTTGTTACGAAGTTTAATTCTAATTCGACAAAAAAAACTAACTATTGATAGTTAAACGAATTTCTCTTACTGAAAACTATTTAATTTTTTAGGAAACTGAAAACTATTTAATTCTTCACAAAGAAATTTAAATTACACTTTACAAATCTAAAATCCTTTAAGTGTAGATGTTTACATAATCTAGTATCGCCGCTCAATATATTTCCTATCCAAATTAATGTAAAATACTTTCTTAAGAAACATTTTATGACCAAAAAAATTTCGTCAATAATTGTATTTCCCAAAGAGAAAATTTAGAGATAAAATATGTTTTGGGAGCTTGAAAGTTTCTTATTAAAACTCAATTATTTCTGTAGTAGGCCGTATATGCATATATTTCTTTACATGCTTTCACAAAAAAAATTTGTTTCCTTATTTATGGGCTTTACTTAAGTTATTTTTTTTAAAAAGGTAGATAAATAAAAATGAGATTAAGATTTTTTCTAAACTGTTTCTTTTGTCCTTATATTTCTTTTAAAATCTTCTTCTAATTAGAATGTGAAGTATTAAAATAGTTCTTTAAATATAATATAAGGCATTCCTTTGAAAAAAAACTTTTTAAAACTTTAAAAAAAAAGTAATGTTTAAGCATATGTTAAACTTGGTTTGATAAAGGAAAAAAAAACCTATATTAAGACATATAAAAAAAATTTGATTTATAAATAAGTAATGCAACTAAAAAAAGTTTGATTTTCCTTTTATGACGTACATGTTATTTATTTAACAAGGAGAGTACATATCTGTAAAATTCATATTGATAGGAAACGAAACTTAAATTAAAGATCATGGTCTAAAACATAAGATGAGGTAAAAATTAGCCCTGCAATAGCAGCCTGTGCATCAAGATATAAACCCTCTAGGTCCAGTACATTTATTATTAAAATAAAAAGATAAGAAATAAAGTTTAAAAAAAATATGTAAATTGAGTTTAATCATGACCGAATGGTTAAAACGACTGACTGTAAAGTTAAACGACGCTGGTTCTATCAAAGCTGGTGGAAGTTTTTTATTTTCATTTCCTAATGCTGAAGAATTTTTGTTTTATTGAAAGTGTAGATGCAAAAGAGATAAATTTCATTAAATGAATTATAATTTAAATATTCGTTAATTAATTTTAAATGGTGTTCTTTTCTTTACCTGTTTTGGAAATTTGTTTTAAAAATGATAATTAATAAATTTATTTGCTTTTTAAGTTAAAATTCTTGATGAAATAAAAAAAAACATAATTTTATTTCAAACGATAAAAATATTCTCCCATCCAAACGATAAAAAAATTCATTTTAATAAAAACGTTTAAACACAATTAATAATTCTTCTTCAGATAATGTTCTTTCATATTGAAAAAAATGAAGCATTATATAAAATTTATAAATGTTTTTATTTATTAATAAATAAATAAAGAAATGCATTTTTTAATGTGACATATAGAAATATTTCATTTACTTATGTAATGTAATACAGAAAAGATATTTTTCTAAAATATGTTTTTGAATCAGTTAATAATTAATACACATCTTCAGTAAAGTATCAAAACTAGATAACTCGAAAAAAAACTATTTTGAAAAAAAATTAATATTCTGTGTCATTTTAAGAGTTGTTTAGTTCTAACGCTTACCGTTAAATTCAACACACGGTTAGTTAAATGGTTATCTATGTATCGTAGCTCAAACCTATAACCATAATACAATGGGGAAAAAGTATGGTCAAAACTACCAGAATATGGTAAATTTGCCATGTTTCTGGTTTCATGGGAACATCATAAAGCTCGGTAATTTTTATCGAGGAGCTGTGGTAAGGATTTTGGTAAATTTAACAATAAAATATAATTTTATAACTTGTGAAAACCTTTGGCAAAATTTAGTAATTTAATCATATCTTATAGCATGACATAAAAACCAATCTTTTGTTAAAATTTACTCTTAAATTTTTAATTTTATTCTAAATATGTGTTAGTTTGAACTATAACTTTGAAAACCGGTATTTCCGGGAAAGCATTACCATATGAATGCTTTAAATACGGTATATTTTGTTTTAATTAACCAAATTTGTTTAAAACTTGAAATGTCATTATCATACAGTAAGGTAATTTTATCAAAATCTTTCTCTGCGTGTAGATAACTTAACCTTAAAAAGTGTAAATAAAACTCGAAATCATAAGACTTAGAGTCTTCTAGTTTAAATCTATTACCACGATAATAACTAGTTCAAGAAAATTCTGGTGAACGTAAAAATGAAGCTTTTAGACTAAAAGTTTAATACATACTTCATTTTGTTTAAGGAGTTGTAAAGTTCTTAAACATACCTCTAAGCTTCACAAACTGTTACATGAAAAGATTTCTTGTTTTAGAACTTCAAAACGATAAACAAATAACCTTACCGCTAAAAATGCACCCATAACTCAAAATTAAAAACAAAATGGTATAAAAAGTATGGTATATCCATTATCCATAAGAAACGATGCATTTTTTATGAAGTAAAAATGAAAATAATGCGTCGCGTGAGGCATATTATACAAGATAACTTTAAAAAATAACGTTAACCAGTGAATATAACCAATGAACTTCAAATTTAAAGATGACCAGTTTTATTTCTGCTAT